CCCCAAAACCCCAAAACCCCAAAACCCCGCATAGTAAAATCTCAATATAAAATCAGAAATTAACTGTTTAAAATTTTTTGAATCAACTAATAAAATATGAATTTTTTCGTACATAAGGCTCCTTTTGAGTAGAAATATGACCGACCACATACCTCCAACAACGTAGCTAAAAAATCATGTAATAATCTTCTTTTAATTTCAGCTTTGCAGCTAATTTCTAAAAATTCAGCTTTTAACTTTTCAATCTTATATAGTAAATTAGGGAGGAATGCCAGCTGGATCGTATTTATTTATGAACTAGAACTGGATCCCTGAGTCAGCAGGGCCTACCTCGCATTATTAAAACCCAAATTCCTACACTCGTGCAGGTAATATGGTCGGTTTGAGAAGTAACCGGTGGACTAATACTGCACAGCTAAACACTACATTCTCACATAACTTCCAAAAGGCTTAGGAGCTTTTATGTATGGGAAATAACAGTGCGAGAAAGTAAAACTAACAACTACAGCAGAGGTCAAAGGACAGAGTATAAACTGCACAAAACCCACTTAACAACTTTACCGACAAAATCTCCAAGGGAATGATTTCTCACGATCATCACCATCCAATGTCTACTAAAAACCTCAATCAAGAGCTCGAGAACTATAATCCACTGGGAACTCATCAAAGAGGGCTAACAGCAATAACGAAAAACCAGCAAACAAATAATTCCAGTAATAAAAATAATAACAGTGGTATTGGTAGTAACAAATAAAACGACTATATTGGAGTAGAAGAAAAACTTAATAACAGCAGAACTAGGCAGCAAGGGAATTTGAGAATTAGAGCTACTAGTGCTGGAATGCGAAACTAGCCAAATAAATAAGGGCCATCATCAAATAATGAGAATGCTGGACTTCCACCAAAGGGAAGCGGAATAAATAACCTATATATAAATTAGACTTAGGATGCTATCGACTAGAGAGCACTTAAAGAAACCAATATATTGAATATCTAGTAGCATTAAACTACCAGCAGTGTTGGCATGAATGAAAAGAGAAGCTCGATACCAACAAGTGCTCTAAATAAAGAAAATAATTATCTGAATAGATATCCCTCAGAGGATAAGTATAATTTGCACAATCCGATTCCTCGACCTTCAATGCCAAAGAAATCCGATCTGATCTTGAATTAAACTCAGGCAACAACTGCTGCTTCCTCTATTTTAGCTTAAAATAACTTTTAATTAGTAAATACAAGTGCTACTCTAGATGCATATACCATCGGTAAGTAAATTGGTCAGGGTGCTTATGCATCTGTCAGACTGATTTATCATAAATAAACAAACTAAAAGTATGCGTTAAAAGTTTATGAGAAGTTCAAACTTAACGATTAAATGAAAAAGAAGGCAGTCCAGAGGGAAATAGCTGTGCTTAAGAAACTAGATCACCCTCATGTTATAAAGCTCTATGAGTTGATTGATACTGCTCGTTAGATAAATTTAGTAACTGACTTTGTTAATGGCATATCACTTCAATAATTTGTAAAAAACCATGGTGGTGCCACCAAGAGAATTAATGAACCACAGTGCAGGAGAATGTTTAAGCAAATAGCAGAGGGCATTGATTACTTGCACTCCAATAATATCGCACATAGGGACATCAAACTAGATAATATCTTGATAGAGGATAAAACTAACTAAATCAAGGTTATTGATTTCGGATTCTCAGTTATCTGTAACCCATCATAGAAATTAAAGATATTCTGTGGCACACCATCGTATATGGCTCCAGAGATAGTCTAAAAGAGAGAATATGACGGTAGACAAGTAGACATGTGGGCTTTAGGAGTTCTATTATTTGCTATGCTTACAGGAACTTTTCCATTTAGAGGTATTTCAGAGTAGGATCTCTACTATAAAATATAAAGAGGGTAGTTTAAGGTTCCAGATAATGTATCTAAAGATGCTCGAAGACTAATTTATAGAATGCTGGAAGTTGATGCTAAGAGAAGAATTACTGCAAGAGAACTAGTTAAAGAGTCTTGGGTGAGATGTTCCGACCTTCCACTGACAATATTTGAGAATGCTGCAACTTATGCACACAGAGGGTCTTCCCTTGATAATAGAGTTAGTATGGATACTAATAATGCAAGTGGCTATCACAATTAGGCTATTAGTTTTCTGGTATGATTTTAAAGTTTCATATTTTATTTTAGAAACAAATGGGCTACTCAGGCAGAGAGATTGATGATACCTTGAAAGGAAACGAAACAAATAATATATATGAGTAGTATAGGAAGCATGTGGACAAGTAACTTAACTTCAGCTCTAATAGATGAACAGAGGCGTTAGACATTGATCATACATGAGTGCGATGAACTGATATGCATGAAAATAAAAAGAGATTGGCTTCGATAGTATAATTAATAAATATATCTGCTATTTTTGAGTGTTAACTTTTCTTTATTTCTGATCAGCTAGCGCTATTTTTTATTAATTAACCTAATCAAATTTTCTTATTATTTCATCAGGGGTTTTGGGGTTTTGGGGTTTTGGGGTTTTGGGG